TCTGCAGCAAATGTTAACTGTCGTCAAGGAACATTCACATCTAGCTGTCATAGATCATGGCCTTACCACTGGTCTTTCTGGCAAGGTTTTGTTTTTGTTCTTAGTGACTGGGCATACCTACAGAGTAGCCGATTTGTGAGAGTCCCATAATGTGCTCTAAACAACCTAGTGTTTGCTTTCTCTGATTTAAAAAATCTGGGGACCTTTGGCCTACTTAGCAGAAAATGGTTGGTTTCACCCTTTCTGACTATATTATTGATCCCTTTCAATCTCTGCATTCCCAGGTCTTATTCTGAATGACTTGGGGCAGAGGAGTCACTTTTCATCTTACTCCTGCAGGAAAACTAGTATTTGTAATCATTCTGAAATAGTTTCACAAAATGATCTTTTTGCCACTTAGTAATTAGTCATTCTCTCAACTTATTTCTTCCCTTTTGCCCATCTTTTAGAGTGAAGGCATATCATAAGCAGGTGGATGGATGGGTGGTCTGTTGTTATGTTTCATTCTGCTTCTGTTTCTTCCTCCTTCCACATCTACCACCGAGCTAAGCATGTCTCAAAGCAAAACCAGGGTCTTTCTCATTAAATGGCTTTGGGATTTTCTGTACATTCTTTGCCTCTAACAACTGCAATCTGCAAAATATATTATATAATAGGACTCTTGCTTACAGAGTGCTGCTTTATCTGTTAATTAACATAGAGAGAGACGTGAATGACATAGATTTGTCACTTTGTATTTAAATGTAATATGGAAATTATTTGTCTTAATTCTAAAGGGTTATTCTCAATCTAGAATCTTTGCATGCAATCAAAAGGAGGTGTATTTGCATTTTTACCTTGGCATAATACTCCAGAAAGCATAACTCACCACCATATTTCATTGTGCATAATAGACTAAAAAACAGCTTTCTTTGCTATTGACAAGTGTTTAAAATAATTGGATACATTTCACAAAATAGTGATGGGGGTGGGGTTACCATTTTGCTTCCAATTTTTTTAATAGGCTTGGAAGAATAGTTTAGTGTAAGAAATAGCTAAAAATCGTATCTGTGGGACTTGGAGTAAGGGTTTTACATTAAGAAACTGAGCTAGGAATCATGAAATCTTTAGTTTGACCTGAAACTATTCCTTCTTTCTTATTTCAGGCCAGGTCAGGAGATGTTTCTCATTGAAATACCAAGATTTCCAAAGCAAATGCTTTTGCTTTTTCCTTGACCACTATTGCTACCACCGCCCCTCTTCCTTCTTCTGAATCACTCTTACAGAATTATTTCTATAATTCAGTCTAAATATGCACCTTGGTCACTTAAAGCATTTGTTTGTTGTCTTACCTGTTCTAGCTTGTATAGTTGTCTTTCTAAGATCTTTTAAATGTTTAAATATATACTTAAAACCTCTGTCATCTTTTTTCATAATTGGTTTTTGTACTTTATCCTCTTCTTTGCTAGGCCAGAGCTCTACTTTAATGCAGACAGTTAAATGCAGATACCATAAGCTTACAATGTGGCCTTTCTTCGAAAGGTGCATGTAATAAGTTCTGTATATACAGTGAGGTTTCAGACATCATCAAGCATCATCTCTAAAGTTGGAGATAAGTTTTGGAGCCCCTGCGGCTCGATGCAGAAGTTTTTAGCTGGGTCTGAGCTTGGCAAGCTTTACTGGCATCTTGATTTGGAAAAGTTCTGGATTTTAAGTTCTTGTCTGTCTATGTTATTTATTTGTTACCAGCATTAGTATGCTGCCTACTCTGGTTTGGAATTTGAATGTAAAACAAAAAGCAAAAACAACCAGACTGTACCTCCTTTAGAGGTCTGCTCCAGCCTATTGCTAATACTCAGCTTGCTTTTGTTAAGCAAAACTTTTCCTGGCCAAATTCAATCTCAAATATTTTATAATTCTCTAAATAATGAATTACAGTATTGACAAATTTCAATATCTTTAATTAGCAGCTAGTTAGCCCTGAAGTACAGTTAGTACATCCAGCCCTAAAATTGCATAAACCACTAAGATTATTGCATTTAAGAAGCACTCCCTTTGATTTCAGAATTGTGCTTTCAGGTTCCTAAACAATGTTTTCTAAAAAGGTTATTTCTAATAATGTAAATTGCAGAGTGACGAATAATCATTCCCAAATTATAATGAAAGTACTTTCCCCATTTTTATATATAATATTTCAACGGAGCATCAGATTTCCAGACATTTCTTCAAACAAATCATGTCTGAATAGTGGAAGGAAAAAGGCTGAATCTACAAGTTGTGTGTGTGTGTGTGTGTGTGTGAGAGAGAGAGAGAGAGAGAGAAGTTTTTCTTATGACTATATACATTTCTTGAATAGTAGAAAAAGTTTATTCAGCCAACTGATTAATATACATGGATCTCT